TTAAATCAATTTAAAAATTAATATGTATGATCTATTTCAGTGGAATATTAAATCTAACTATTATATTTTTAAAATATTTATTGAAAGATATTATGATGTTTTTTAAGTTAAGATTTTAGTTTTTTTATGAAAGTCAGGATTGATATACACTTTTTTTAATATAAATATATGATATTAATGTTTATTGAAAGATATTATGAAATGTTTATTGAAAGATATTATGATGTTTTTTAAGTTAAGATTTTAATTTTTTTTTATGAAAGTCAGGATTGATATACACTTTTTTTTATATATAAATATATGATATTAATGTTTATTAACTTAACAAGTAAAAAAATTAGACAAAAAAAATTTTAAACTACTTATTTTGATAAAGCACAACAAAAAAAACTAAAAACAATCTCATTCCAACTTAAAAATTAAGACGTTTTAATCTTTTCAAATGGGATTTTATTAAAAAACATAATTTTAGAATATTTTTTCACTTAATTTTTTATAATATAGATTAATACTTACTTTTTTTTTTTTGCAAATATATATATACATGCACATGCACATGAACATTGAAAATATTATAATTATAGTGTTATATGATATTATAAATTTACAATATAATTTTTCATTATATAATTGCTTTTTTAGAGATTCACCTTAATATAATATGTATTCATTTATTTAATATTATATTATATTTATTTATTATCACATTATAATGGTAAAATTATAATTTCATCTGAAGTATAGAATTACCACACAAAAATAACATGAGAAGGTTAAAAAGAAATTATTGCAAAATAAATTAAAAAATATAAAAAAATGTAAAAAAGTACTCCAATAATTATAAAAAAAACTTATTTTATAATCTAAATTATACTAAATTATAAAATAAAAATTATTAAATAATAAATTCTTAATATTAAAAAATTTACTTTTATTTAATAATTAATATAATATAATATAATATAATTTAAATTATATAACATTTTTTCATAAAAATAACTCAACTTCGAAGGTTTCACTTGTCCGTTACTTTTAACACACACAGAGTCCCTACTGTCTAGGGGTGTTCATATCCGATCAAATTCGATTGATTCGACCTAAACTGATCAAATTCAATTAAAAACCGATCTAAACCGATATAAAATTGGATTGGTTTGAATTTTAAATTTTTAAAACCGATATAATTGATTTGATTTGTAATTTTACCTTCAAACCGCCCGATTACAAAATAAAATCTGATTAGAAGATAATTTAATTAAATAATATAACATATTTTTTGTAGTATTTTAAATTTTCTTTTTCTTATTTTACAATATTTTAACTCCATTAACTTAATTAAAAAAATAAAAATAAAACATCTTTATATTCTTTAAGTTATTTCTCCATTTTAATCATACACTCTAACCTTAATTTTAAATTTTAATTCACCTACAACTCTATCCTTTCAGAACTGGTTTGCGCCTTTACTCTTAGAACCCTAAATTTCTAATTTATTCTTAAAATAATCTTATGATTTTCCTAACTAAATTTTAAATAAATATCATTCTAAAAGCCTTAAAACTATATAATAAAATTAGTCTTAATATTCAACTATTCTTAGATATTTGGTTTAAAAGTTTTAAATTTTGATTTTGAATATTTCTAATCAATTTTAGTAATATTCATGTTAAATGTTATTCACTTTTAATAGGATTTAGAAAATGACATTAAATTATTAGTGTATTAAGAAAAAAAATTAATTTTAACCTTCAAGAATTATTTACGTTGTGCTAGAAATTTAAAATTATTTTTTATTGTTTTTAATGTCTCTAGTAATGTAATCAAAAAGAATTTTCAGAACTTTTCAATTTTTACAAATGTAAAAAAGTATAAGAATTTGTTTATAATTTTTACTTTTTATTATGTTTTTACTAATTTAAATGTTAATGTATTTTATAATTATACTTTCTATTTGATATTAAAATATTTTTACATTATTTTATATATTTAATAATGTTAAAAATTGATCAATCCAATCAAACCACACCGATCCGATTTAAGTTGAATTAGTTTAATTATCACATAATACTGTATTGAATTGATTTAAAAATTTTATTAATAAATTAAATTGAATTAATTTAAAAAATAATAAAATCCAACCTAAACCACACGGCGAGTACCTCTGCTGACTACTGCTGTGATTTTCACTTCACCTTTTTCATTTCTCGATAATGGGTCGACCCCTCATGCGTGGCAAGTCGTTGGAACCCCCCAGTCAATTTTGCAATATATATAAAAAAAATATATGGATCACGAGGTTGCTGGGTAACTTCGCCCTTGACTTGGATCATTGAACAGTTATTAAAGAAAAATAATTTAGGATAAATTTTGTATATTAATTTTGTATATAATTTTATATATTATTTAAATAATTAATTATTTATTTATTTAAAATTTATAATATTAAATATATTTTTTATTTAAAAATATATAACACTTATATAAAAAAATTATCTTTATATCTCAGCTACTCATTAAAGGAGCACATAAAGCAAAATTAGTGTTTTAAAGAGTGTACTTGGAGTTGCTGTTGATTTTTAAGTAAAACCCCCCATTGTGTTGTGGTGCATATATTTTCTTACGTTGGGGCCTGATGATCGACAACGACCTGACGAGCGACAACGAACTGACGACCGACACCCCATAATCGAGTGAAAGAATGCAAATATCGACCGAATACCGCAAGGCACGCAACTCGCTTCACATAGGAGAGAACGTGTCAATAAAAATGTTAATTTT